AAAGGGTGTCGTGATCAAGGTGGGTGGTAAGGTTCTTCTATGCGTTTGTATGGAAGGAGTCGCGAACATGATGGGTTACTGAGACTGGCCTAGTTTTGGGAGAGTTCTTCTATGCGATCGCGAAAGAGATGTCGCGATCACGGAACAAGAAATTACTGAGGCTGGAAGTTTGGCCTTCACGCTTGCAGAGCTGGGCTCGCGTTCGCATAGGTTTGGCAGATTGTGCAACGCGATCGCGAGAGGACCTCACATTCGCGAAGAAAGAGTTCTAGGCAAGGCTGGTTTGGCCTTCACGATCGCAAGGAAACTTTCACGATCGCGAAGAACGACAACCAGGCAGTGTATAAGATTTCAAATCGGTACTTGGCCCATTTTTATCTCATTTGTTCCATTAGGGCTGATTTTGGGGCGATTTTGAAGGGCCATTTTTATGATCTATCATGAGGTAAGTAATCCCACTTGTTGTGAGTTAAATATATGGACTATATATGGATTTTACATGGAAGTTGGTAGAAATTGTCGGATTTTGAAAGAAAACATAGAAATGATATTTTTGAGTTTTGACCACAAAATTAGACATGGAATTGGAAAAAAATTATATATTTGTTCGTGGTGCTATGGGTAAATTTATCTTCGAGAATTTTCATAATTTGATCACGTGGGGTTGACTTTGTTGACTTTTTATGTGGAGTTAGGAATTTGTTTCTAACTGTTAAATTACGAGCCTTAGAGTATAATTATATTGCTTTGCGCGTTCTTTGACTAGTTTCAGGTCATTTAGCATTGGTTGGAGACGTTAGAGAGGCATTGGAACCGGTAATCTAATTTTGGAGCAAGGTAAGTCTCCCGTCTAATCTTGTGTGGGGGAATTTCCCTTGTAGGCGATATATGTGCTATGTATTATGGGAGCTATACACGTATAAGGTGATGAGTATCCGTGCGTATGCTTGAACTCTTGATTATGTCTGGGTAGACTTAGACTTACGCCATGCTTTAAATTATATTATTTGAGTTATTCTTGCGTGCTTAAATGCTTTAATTTACACTTTAGCCGGAGACTAGAATTGAGTAATTTATTGGGCTTGCTATCTTTGATACTTGATGAGTTACTCGATTTGTCATGGAAAATATACTTCCTTTTACGGATTTCTCCCGTGTTGTACGAATTTGTCCGAAAGTCTCCTAAATTTCATAATTCACACATATATTTGTAGCAGTATTATATATTCTAGTAGATGCTTATGCACTTGTGACACCGGGTTTTGGAAATTTAGATTTTGGCTCTTTATTTTATTTTGCTATGATTTCCTGGTTTATATTTTGGCCTTATTCAAGCATTTAAAATAATAACATCTATATTTTCTATAATAACGAAAAATTTCCACTTCGTATTTCTTTAATTGTTTCGAAATGCATTTTGGATTAACCATTGATGTGTTGATTTATAGTTGGCTTGCCTCACAGTAGAGTTGGGCGTCATCACAGCCTACAATGGGTTTTGGGTCGTGACACCTTGGCATCAGAACTAGGTTCACTTTCACGAGTCATGAGCAAGTCTAGTAGAGTCTTGCAAATCGATACTGAGACGTCTGTACTTATATTCAAGATGCTACAAGGCTGTTAGGAGAACCTCCATTTCTAGATTCCCTGTCGTGTGATTTTATTTTGTTAAAGCTTATGTTTTTAGTTCCTTCCTACTCATTCGAACACGATGTTGAGCACTTGATATCAGTTGGGCATCGAGGAGTTGTGGTGGTGCTACAGGTGTGGTGCAGGATGTTTTTCCTTGCATTATGAGGGTAGACTACTATCATTACCTCGTGGAAGGGTGTTCGATCACTCCAGCCAGTGTTGGTGTTGCCCATGGTTTCGGGACTATACGTAGTGCATTGTGACATTTCTCCCATTGTTATTGCACAGTGTTGGTCTGAATGGTAGGGTGCTTAATTTTGTGTTACGGCAGTGAATGATTTAGGAAGAGGATTATTCGGTTTGTGATTGGAAATTCATTATTTAATTCCAGCACATGAGTTGCAATTGGACTATGGATGTCATGGCTTTGCTTGACGGAGTAACAAGACTTTATGTCTCCAGAATTGGTGTAATTCTAGTTTATGTTGTAGTGGCATCATCCTTATTTGAATGCATTAAGACTCGTCAGTATGATGGCCCTCCATTTGTTTGCCATTGGGAATAGTGTTGCGAAGTGGTACCTAAGAAGCGGTTATCAGAGATGATAGTGTATTACAACTTCAGGGTCAGATCGGTGTTTTCAGTGTTGGGCTCAAGGAGATGGTCCTTAAGGAGGTTTAGAGTTGATGGCAATCTAACTGTTCGGGTGTGATGTGCCGGAGAATTTCGGCACATTTCAATACTAATTGCTTAGATTTTAGCTTGTTTTAATGCAATTATCTCCGTTACTTATGTAGTTTTGTTATTTCTATAGTACATAAGGACTGAGAACCCAAGAACATGGAAATGGAAGCAAAAAGAGCAAAATGTAGCAAAAATGCTGGTCTGCGATACACTATGTGATCGCAGATCAGACATGCGAGCCGCAGAATGCACGTCAAATCGCAGACAAAAGCAGAGATTTGGGTTAAATCTCAAGTCAAGAATGCGGTCCATTATGCGACCGCAGAACCAACATGTGAGCCGCAGAGTGAACCGCAAATCAACCATGAAGGTCACTGAAGGACGAAGATGCGATGCAAAATGCGATCGCATTTCTGCAAAGCGATCCGCATAATTGGAATGCGAAGAAGACCTGTAAACTAGGGTTCCAGTCTGCGATGAGGATGTTCAAGATGCGGACCGCATACGTGCTCTGCGACAAGAATGCGATCGCATATCAGACCTGAAAGGGCATTTTTGTCCGTTTTCTGTCCCGATTTTGAGTCCACTATAAATAGTTTTATGATGTCTTTGTGGGCTCATCTTGTCTAGTCTTTGAACCACATTCCAAGACATTAATATTCCTCACTTTTGGAAGCTTTTGGGTGAAGATTCTCTACTTTGTAAGCTTTTATGACATTAAATACTCTTTGGTTTTTGTATTGTAGTATGAGTAGCTAACTTTAAATACTAAGGTTGTGGACCCTAAATGGGTGTTATGCTAATGGGTGTTTAACATTGAATATATATATAATGGTTGGTTGATATTTATTTACTTCTCATTCTTCATTTATTGTTGGTGGTTGCAAACATTAACAAGTGCCATTAAATTCTTGCTTTGCTTGGGAAAGTGGGTTAGAATTTGGTAGAAGTAAATATCAATGACTCAAGGCTTTAAACCTTGTTTAATAGAATCGCTTAGGAATAAGTGGGTTTTACTTGGCATATATTGATGGTTCTAAATTGCAACTCTTTTATATTTGGGAAAATTATAAAGAGGAAATACTACTCAACTATTGGGAAATATTGGGTAGTCACTTAGACATCATTTGCATATCAAAAGAACCTTCCATTAGAAATATATCATATTAACACCGATAAGCATTACACTCCATTACAGGGGACACAACCTTGGTTTCTTTAATCCAATTAATTACTCTATAAATATTCCAATTAGTTGATACTCCAAACAAACTCAATTCATACTCTTGTTACTATAAAACCATTCTCTTGTTACTGTTAACCGAATAGAGATACGACTTTAGTCGAGCAACACACTATAAGAGTAACCTTTTCACACCTATTCCCTGTGGGATTCGACCCCAACCTTGTTGGGTTATTATATTTGACACCGACCGCCTTACACTATTTATTAAAGTGTAATTTGAGCGTATCAAATTTTGGCGCCGTTGCCGGGGAATACAGTTTTGAAATTACTATTTAGTGTGTACTTTACTTAACGTCTATTTCTATTCCATCACACTTTGCTTGCTTTGCTTGGTGTTGATAGGAAAACATGTCTGAATATGGCGAAGATGCGGAGACAGAAATGGGAGAGAATCCTTTCGCAGACATCGAGGAGTACATTAAGGATACTAACGCCATTGTACCGTCAGCTGTTGGAGCTGCAACATTTAAAGTGGAACACGGTCTAATTCTGATGCTCAAGGCAGAAGGATTTTTCAGAAACTCCACAGATGATGATCCAACACAACACCTTAGGAATTTCTTGGGTGTGTGTGCAATGCACAAACAAAACAATGTCTCTGACGATGCCCTGAGGTTGAGATGCTTCAAGTATTCTCTAGCTGGGGATGCGAGGAAATGGCTCCAGAATCTGCCACCCAACTCTATCCATTCTTGGCCCGAACTTGTCCGGGCGTTTTTGTCCAAGTGGTTCCCGCAGAGCAAAAAGTCTGAGTTGCGGGATAAGATTTTCTTCTTCAAGCAGATACAGGGAGAGCAGTTGCATGAGGCATGGGATCGCTTCAAATTATACTTGGTGAGGTCTCCAAACCATGGTTTTCCGAATTCCATGTTGTTGGAAAAATTTTATATGGGTTTTGATCCCATGAACCAAGCCATCGCCAAGAATGCAGCTGACAGATCTTTCATGGACAAATCATTTGCAGGAGTGACACAAATCCTGGACAAAATGTCAAAGCACAACCAAGCATGGCATTCAGAGGATACTACCGGAGGAATCTCATATGGCTCTCCTTCCTTGAGTAACTTAATCAAGGAAAATCAAGAGAGGGATCAAGTGATTGCCGGGCTTCATCTTAGATGAAAATTTTGAGGAAGCAAATTATATCAACAACCCACAAGGAGGGTATCAAAAGCAACCCTACCATGGTCAAGGGCAACAAAGCCAATGGAGTCCAAACCCGCAAGGGCAAGGCAACCAACAATGGAGAAATGATCAAGGTAACTCGCATCAAGGAAATTGGAACAACAACAACAACTTTGCAAACCGGATCTCCAACCCATATGTTCCCCCAAAAGGTCATTATGCAAATCAAGGGTCGTCAAGTGAGTCAAAGTTAGAAAGCATGCTTGAAAGAGTATTGCAAAACCAAGAAACGTCTGACGCGTCCATGAGAAATATGACCGAAGTTGTTGGCTCTCACACCGCATCTATCCAAAAGTTAGAGATTCAAATGAGAGACCTTTCAAGAGAGCAAAACCCAAAGCAAAAAGGGCAACTTCCTAGTAATACCATTGCGAACCCGAAGAGTTGTGGAAGTGGCTCAACTTCTCACGTCATGGCAATAACTACTAGAAGTGGGAAGGTTTTACAAGGTGACATTGATCTAGAGGTTGTTAGGAAATAAGCCGAACAAGAAGTTGAAGCAGAAGAGCAAGGGGTGGTTGAAGTTAAAAGGGTGCCGGAAAAAGAGAAGGTGCAAGAAGTGAACCAAGAAGGGGTGAAGGAAAAGGAGAAGGAGACATCAAAAGCTCCACCTCCTATTCCTAGACCTCCTCCGCCTTTTCCTAAAAGACTTATTAGAAGGGTTGATGATAGCAAGCTTAAGAAATTCTATGATATTCTAAAGATATTGTCGGTGAACATTCCATTCTTGGAGGCTTTTCAAGAAATGTCGGGGTTTGCCAATTATTTGAAGGATTTTATCACCAAGAAGAGGACCACAAAGAATGAGGTGGTAAACATGACTCACCGGGTTAGCTCTATTATTGCCACAAGCACTGTCCAAAAGAAAGAGGACCCGGGAGCATTTACTATTCCATGCACTATCGGGGAGCGTGACTTTGCAAAAGCCCTTTGTGACAATGGGGCTAGCATCAACTTGATGCCACTTGCCATCTACAAGCAAGCGGGATTAGGGATGCCGAGGCCAACAAGCATGAGGTTACAAATGGCCGATCGATCTATTAAGTGACTGGTAGGAATTGTTGATGATGTGATTGTGAAAGTTGGAAAATTCCATTTGCCCGCCGACTTTGTATTCTTGATTGTGCTATTGATAAAAAGATCCCTATCATATTGGGGAGACCATTCCTATCGACGGGAAGAGCACTCATGGATTCTGAGCGAAATGAAATTAAGTTCCGGGTGAATGATGAAGAAGTCATATTTCAAGCGAGCAAGGGTATGAAATTACCCCATGAGTATGAGAGCATTTCAGTGATAGATGTGGTTGTTGAGGTTGAAGATGTCGTCGAATTGAAAATGGAAGAACAATGCCTTGGTGAGGCATTGGCGGCTATCTTGGTTAACTTTTATGGTGAGGACATGGATGGGTACATGGAGTCGGTAAATGTATTGGAGGGTCTTGGATCCTATACTTACACTCTGGCAAAGCTTTCTCTTGACTTGGAGAATAGGGCCACACCTCCCGCCAAGCCATCAATCATTGAGCCACCACAACTAGAGCTCAAGCCTCTCCCGCCGCACTTAAGGTATAAATTTCTTGGCTCTAATGATACTTTACCCGTAATCGTTTCATCTTTGCTAAATGATGTGCAGGTAAACCAATTGTTGGAAGTCTTGAAAGAACATAGGCAAGCCATTGGATGGACCATTGCGGACATTCGTGGAATCCCCGCGGGAATTTGTGAACATAAAATCCAATTGGAGAGCGAAACAAAGCCAAGTGTGGAACATCAAAGGCGGTTGAACCCGTCAATGCAAGAGGTAGTAAAGAAGGAGATTATCAAGTGGTTGGATGCCGGGGTAGTTTACCCCATTGCCGACAGTTCGTGGGTGAGCCCAGTACAATGTGCGCCAAAAAAGTGTGGCATGACCGTTATCAAAAATGAGAAGAATGAACTCATTCCCACGCGAATTGTGACCGGATGGCGAGTTTGTATAGACTATCGGAAACTTAACAGTGCTACTTGCAAGGACCACTTCCCTATGCCTTTTATTGATCAAATTCTTGATCGGCTAGCGGGGAGGTCATTTTATTGTTTCCTTGATGGTTACTCCGGCTACAATCAAATCAACATCGCTTTGGAAGATCAAGAGAAAACTACGTTCACTTGCCCGTATGGCACTTTTGCTTTTAGCCGGATGCCATTTGGATTGTGCAATGCTCCGGCCACTTTCCAAAGATGTATGATGTCCATCTTCTCTGACATGGGGGACTTTCTTGAAGTTTTCATGGATGATTTCTCGGTGGTTGGTGATTCGTTTGAGCACTGTCTTAACAATCTTAGACAAGTGCTTAAGCAATGCGAAGAGACCAACCTTTTGCTAAATTGGGAGAAGTGTCACTTCATGATTGACGAAGGCACTGTGCTTGGGCACAAAATTTCAAAGCATGGTATTGAAGTCGACCGGGCAAAGATTGAGATTATTTCTAAGCTTCCTCCACCGACCTCCGTGAAAGGTGTTAGAAGTTTTCTACGGCATGCCGGGTTTTACAGGCGCTTCATCAAGGACTTCTCCAAGATTGCTAACCCCGTGTGCAAACTCCTCGAAAAGGATGCCAAGTTTGTGTTTGATGAGAACTGTCTTAAATCTTTTGAGGAGTTAAAGCAAAGGCTCACCACGGCACCCATTATTGTCACGCCCGATTGGTCACTTCCTTTCGAGCTCATGTGTGACGCCAGTGGTGTAGCCATTGGAGCAATGCTTGGCCAACGTCACAACAAAGTTCTCCACCCGGTGTACTATGCAAGTAAAACTCTCAATGGGGCACAAATGAACTACACGGTAATTGAGCAAGAGCTTCTTGCTATTGTGTATGCTTTTCAAAAATTCCGGGCTTATTTGTTGGGGTCCAAGGTGGTGGTATACACTGATCATGTGGCTCTTCGATATCTCATAGCAAAGAAGGATGTAAAGCCTCGATTAATTCAATGGGTCTTGTTGTTGCAAGAATTTGACTTCGAAGTCAAATATCGCAAGGGAACTTAAAATCAAGTGGCGAATCATTTGTCAAGGCTTGAGGAAGAAAGGAGACCACAGGGAGATCTTGAAATCAACGATGCATTCCCTGATGAGCACATATTGGCATTATCTAGCACTTTTGCTCCTTGGTATGCCGATATTGCTAACTACTTGGTTAGTGATCTTATCCCGAACGGATTGGAATCTTATCAAAGAAAGAGGTTTTTGAGAGACTGCCGGCAATACTATTGGGAGGAACCATACTTGTTCCGTGTTTGTGCTGACAATATTATCAGAAGGTGTGTTCCCGAAGAAGAGGTTATGCCAATTCTCAAGGCATGCCATGACTCACCGGTTGGGGGTCATCATGGAGGAATTCGGACGGCGGCTAAAGTTCTTGAATGTGGGTATTATTAACCTTCCATCTACCATGATGCCAATTAAATGGTCAAGGCTTGCGACTAGTGTCAACGACAAGGTTCAATCTCCAAGAGGCATGAAATGCCAATGCACTTTGTGATGGAGATAGAGATCTTTGATGTGTGGGGAATCGACTTCATGGGCCCCTTTGTAAGTTCTTGCGGGATGAAACACATCTTGGTAGTTGTGGACTACGTGTCCAAATGGGTTGAAGCAGTTGCCTTACCAAACAATGAGGCAAGGAGTGTGACCGCCTTCTTGAAGAAAAATATATTCACTCGGTTTGGCACTCCTAGAGCCATCCTTAGTGATGGTGGATCTCATTTTTGTAACAAGGCATTCTCGGGGCTGCTTGAGAAGTATGGCGTAAAGCACAAGGTGGCCACACCTTATCATCCGCAGTCAAGTGGTCAAGCTGAGGTTTCCAACAGGGAGATCAAGAGCATTCTAGCAAAAACTGTGAACGCAAATAGGACCGACTGGTCAAGGAAGCTAGATGATGCATTGTGGGCATACCGTATGACCTACAAAACCCCGATTGGTACTTCTCCTTATCGGCTAGTCTTTAGTAAAGCATGTCATCTACCCGTGGAATTGGAACACAAAGCTATGTGGGCATTGAAAAGGCTGAACTTAGATTGGGCTGAAGCTACAAATTTGAGGTTAACACAACTCAATGAAATGGAGGAATTTCGGTTCCATGCTTATGAAAGTGCAACTGTGTACAAAGAACAGATGAAGTTTGTCCATGACAAGAAGATCTTGAAAAGAGAGTACAAGACGGGTGATTTGGTCTTGCTCTTTAACTCAAGGCTCAAATTGTTTCCGGGCAAGCTTAAACCAAAATGGTTTGGTCCATTCAAAGTGGTCAATGCCTCTCCTTATGGAGATGTGGAATTAGAATCAACAGATGGGTCCAGGACAATCAAGGTAAATGGCCAACGCATCAAGCACTACTTGGACATTGATGGAGAAAGACATTTGGTGGAGCAGCTAGCTCTCAAAGATGGTCCATGCCCGACTATTGAGTGAAACCAAAGGAACATCAACTTTGTCGTGCCGCGACGTTAAATCAAGCGCTTCATGGGAGGCAACCCATGTGTGGTAACACTCTTTTGTTCTATGAATTTTTAGTTTTTGATAGATAGATTTATTTGAGCAATTTAAAGTGTGTGTCAGAGTGCAGGGGGTTCAAAAGATCACAACAATTGGTACGAATGTATAAAAAGTGGAAGAAAAATCACTAGGTGAATTCTGCTGCACAAATGCGGTCGCATTTTAGCTATGCGGACCGCACTCTGACCGCAAACCTAAGCAGAGATTTGGGTTAAAATTGTGGTTGAAAATGCGGTGAGGCGGTGCATTATGCGGTCCGCATTTAATTTATGCGACCGTATTTGCCTCCCTTCAACTTGGTCCTTAACCTCATCGCATAACACACATGCGGTCGCACTGTGTGTTATGTGGTGTCCTATCCATCGCAGAATCGACAAGGTAAGTTCGCATAACCCTCTCGTCTCTCACTCACTCACTTAAAACAAAACAAAAAAACGAAAAAAAGGGGGGAAGAATGTAAGCACGTGATTTTTGCCCTATATGAGAATTACTCCCAAAAAAATTCAAAAATAAAATGATTTTTCTTTGGTGTGCAATTTTGTGATATTTTGTGATATTTTGAATAATTATTTGCATTTGTCTGTGTGTGTTTATTTTGCTAAATTAATAAAAAATACAAAAATATGTCGCATTTTGCATGTAGGATTTAATTCTACAATTGTTAGTAATTAAATTTGTTTTACAAAAATTAAAAATTACAAAAATAGGCATCGTTTGCATTTTTAGCATTTAATGTCCAAATATACAATTTCATGCTTAATTATTATTTAATTGTGTGTTAATTGATATTGGGAGTTAATTTGCGCTTTTATAACTTAATTTAGTTCTTAATAATAGTTTAAGTGTTTTTATAATTTAGTTTTAGAGAAATAAAAGAAGAAAAGAGAGCGAAAATATAAAGAAATTCGGAATTGGGCCTCTTCTTCAATTTCAAGCCACAGGCCCAAAAAATGGCCCAATCTTCCCTTAGACCCAGTCCATTTCGAACTGGGTCGACCCAGTCCATAACCCAAAA